TTATTGAGAGGTGGTGTAGAGAAGAGGTGGTTGTAGAGAGAGTGGTTTTGGTTGTAGAGAAGAGGTGGTTGTAGAGAAGAGGTGGTTTTAGAGAAGAGGTGGTTGTGAAAAGAAGAGGGTGGCGTAGAGAAGAGGTGGTGTAGAGAAGTAGAGAAGAGGTGGTGTAGAGAAGAGGTGGTGTAGAGATGAGGTGGTGTAGAGAAGAGGTGGTGTAGAGAAGAGGTGGTGTAGAGAAGAGGTGGTGTAGAGAAGAGGTGGTGTAGAGAAGAGGTGGTGTAGAGAAGAGGTGGTGTAGAGAAGAGGTGGCGTAGAGAAGAGGTGGCGTACTACAAGAGAAATATACAACAGAAGTGAGATTTTTAATAATGACACAGCTGTATAAAGCGTTGAGAGCTTTCCCCCACATAACCAAGGATACAGTTCAAACCAATCATGTGCTCCATCTGGCTCGCCACATACCCTACACATTACCCTCAAAGAAACACACACATACCATAATGCATTATTATCACACATATTCATGCATATTCTCCTTATAACATGCTAAATGGGACTTGCGTCATGAATTGGTTATCAGCGATAGAGGGGGATATGTTTCACCTGCTATGTTTGTTTAAATACGTAAATGCGATCAGTGCAGCTGCGTAATTGAGCTTGGAGAGATATGCGCTGGGCTGATAAAGTGACAGAAGGCTGTAGTTATGGCCCGTAGGTCCATGGCAGCACTGATGAGAAGCAGATTGGCGCCCAGTGCGTGCTGGTGTCTGGCGGAGAACCAAACCTCAGTTCTATCAGTTGTATACCCTCTATGAGAGTAGTGAGGAGATAGGGAAGGGAGAGGGAGATAGGGAAGGGAGAGGGAGATAGGGAAGGGAGAGGGAGAGAGAGAGGGAGATAAGGACTGAAAGAAGGTAAGAGAAGAGACTGGATGAGGCACATAATAAGAGAAGGAGTGAGAGAAAAGAAGGAAGCATATTGTTTTTTTGTTTAGTATAGAACATTTGGGATCTATCACTTTGTCTAGTCCTTGTGACTAATACAGTTTCTGCCTATTGCTTACACACTTTTTTGCAGAATTTGGCTCATTATGTCAAAAACTCAACACACAAGCCAATCAGACATAGCACTTGGAGATTAACAACTCACATATATGCCAAAATGAAACACTGCAATCAAAACTTAACACTCCTTTCTAAAAATGAAATTCTTGCAACAAAACCATACACACAAGCAACATTTGAATGACTCTTTCATATCACCAGCAACACACTGATGGGCTTTATATAAAACACTGCAGTCTTTGTGTTTCTATTTTTATTGTCATTTTATTGTCAAACTCAAAAGTAGAATTTCTGCAGTAATCAAACAGTATTTACAAAAAAGTTTTTTACAAAAAAACTAACATTCTTACAGAAATTATTAACATCAAATTTAGCAACAAAACAAAAGTAAAAAAAAAAAAGAAAAAAATTTGCTATTGGGGGAAAAAACATATACTTGTTTTGTGTGTGTGTGCGTGTATGTGTGCGTGTGCGTGTGTGTGGTGGGGGGTGGGGGGGCTTATGGATCACACCTTCTGTTCGGATCTGGCCACAAGACCTCGTCAACATCACAGGCGATGTCCTCGCGGGCTAGACATCGGGGAAAATATTGCCATTGTGTGCCGAATCCACCCTTGGATTGATCCCACCTCAATGTCTCCACATGCCTCTTCCATTGCTTGCAGAAGAGTCATGCGGGCATGTGGTTGCCGATCATATACTTTCCACCGCCACGCTGAAAATAATTCCTCGATTGCATTTAGAAAGGCGCTGTAAGGGGGCAGGTATAAAACTGTGAAATGATTATGGTTGTTGAACCAATCTCGGACCAGAGCAGCCCGGTGGAAACTAACATTATCCCAGATGACATCAAACCTGGGCTGCTGTGGTCTGTCCTGCACAACTGCATGTAGTGCATCTAGAAATGCAATGATCTGTCCTGTATTGTAGGGACCTAGAGTGGCATGATGATGCAGGACTCCTTGGACACTAATTGCAGCACACAAGGTGATATTTCCCCCACGCTGCCCAGGGACATTTACAACAGCCCTTTGTCCAACTACGTTACGGCCCCGACGCCTGGTTTTGGCCAGATTGAAGCCTGCCTCATCCGCGTAGATGAACTCATGCGGCAGTTCAGCGGCATCAAACTCCAGAACTGTCTGTAACAGAAAATATTGAATAGTGTTACTGAAAACACATACAGTAACTACAATGTCTATATTTTCACACAAGTAGGGGCTGGGTTGGGTGAGTATAGACACAAACTACAGGCAGGGCAGGTGGCAGCATAAACCCTGATTCCCACATCACAATATATAGTTGTCACGCCCTGACTCAGGGGACTCGTATATGTTGAGTCAGGGTGTGTATGTTCTATGTTGTATATTTCTATGTTGATGTTCTAGTATGTCTATTTCTATGTTGGCCGGTGTGGTTCCCAATCAGAGGCAGCTGTCGCTCGTTGTCTCTGATTGGGGACCATACTTAGGCAGCCTTTTGGCACTAGTTAGATGTGGGATCTTGTTCCGTGTAAGGTATGTTTTGTGTTCTACCTTGGACGGCACGTTTAGTTTGTTTATTGTTTTGTCAGTTGTTTATTCATTAAAATAAACATGTACGCATATCACGCTGCGCCTTGGTCTGACCCGTCTGTAAGCGATCGTGACAATAGTATGTAAAGTAAAGTGACACATACCTGCACATAATCATGGCGCAGATCCTTGACCCTGACGCTGTTCCTCTCAAATGGCACCCTGTACAGCTGCTTCATGCTGAAGTTATGTTTCTGTAGGATGCGACTTAGTGTAGAAATGCTGACCCTGTTGATATTGTTGAATTCATTTCCATTTGCAATTATGCGTTGTTGCAACTCACAAAGTCGGATTGCATTATTTTCTCGCACCATTTCAATGATGGCAAGCTCTTGTTGTTGAGTGAAGAGCCGTTCCCTTCCACCTTGAGGAGGTCGTCCAACCATTCTGTAGAAAATGCCACCACAAGATGTCATTGGTTGGGTTATTTTTCACATACTGTACTTTCAAACTGTACACAGTACTGCAACATCACAATGGTATTCCTTTACATATACAGTACTTCACAGCACTACCAATTTTTGTATAGTATAGTTAGTACATTAATTAATATTCACCTAGTCCCATAGGGCGGCGCACAATTGTCCCAGCGTCGTCCAGGTTTGGCCGGTGTAGGCCGTCATTGTAAATAAGAATTTGTTCTTAACTGACTTGCCTAGTTAAATAAAGGTAAAATAAAAAAAATAAAAAATAAAAAAATTCATGTGACACATACAGTAGGTACAGTCTGGAGTAGAAACTTGAAGATATACCTGTTCTCCAGTCGGAATGTCCTTATTATCGATGCTACTGTGTAGCGACTGAGGTTAGGGTGGACTCTTTGCCCAGCCTCCCTCATGGACAGGCCATGATTTATCACATGGTCCACCAGAGTAGCCCTGATGTCATCTGATATACGTCTCCGCACTGGTCCTCGTCCTCTTCCTCGTCCTCTTCCACATCCGACTCCTCTCTCTCTTTGTCCTCCTCTTACTCTGACTCTCATTGCCTCCACGCTTGCAAAGTTCTAAAAAGGGCTTACCTGAGGCCTATTTGTAGTGCTAAGGCTCAGACTGATTGGTGTTCTGTTTTCTGTGCAAGAGTTTTCAGGTGTGTATGAAAGTGCATACAATTGCCAGATGAGTTTTGCATTTTGAACAGAGTGTTTTTTCCAATGATAACGGGTGATTTCGTTTTTGAACAAAGTGTCTAATGTAAGAAAACGTGTGTAGTGTTTCGCAATAAGTGTGTTACAGAATTGCAAAGTTGACATTGTGTTTAAAGCTATGGTTACACTGTGTTTAAGGTATGCTACAAGACGTTTAGGTATTGAGGCTTTGGTCTTAGCATTCGGTTTCAGTGTGTAAGCAATGGGCAAAAACTGTAACTTTCTCATAGCGCCAGATGTACTGCATGTTGGCACTGTAAAGCCAGTGTATTTCCCCGTAGCAGACACATGAGCAATATCCTCCAAGTCGGCGCTCCAGAGTTGACACGTGGGAAATATTCCCAGTAGACACTCTCCCTGAGTCATACGCTCTCCCAGTCTGTTTTAGACTTACTCCTGATTACGGTCCAGACACACCAGATTGTGAAAGGTCATGTGGTCGCTCTCTCTCTCTCTCTCTGCTCTGCCCCGACTTATTCCTATCAAGTGACCAAAATGTTTTGTTTGGTCTGCCGAGGCGTACACTCATATTTTCATCCATCTAATCAATCTCTCTCCACTCTCTTTTTGTCAGAGTGGATCCAAATGAAACGTGCAGTGTGGATTTAATGTCCTGAATGGTGTGTGTGTCTCTGTGTGTGTGTGGGTGTAATGTACTGAATGGTGTGTGTGTCTCTGTGTGTGTGTGTTTAATGTACTGAATGGTGTGTGTGTCTCTGTGTGTGTGTGGGTTTAATGTACTGAATGGTGTGTGTGTCTCTGTGTGTGTGTGTGTGTGTGTGTGTGTGTGTGTGTGTGTGTGTGTGTGTGCGTGTTTAATGTACTGGACAGCAGCTGGAGTTTGGAAGCTACCGTGACCCCACATTAATTTAGTGGTATCCTGTCCTCAAGAAATGGGATTTTGGCAAAGACTCTGGCCAGTATTCAGTCAGTTGCAGATAGTGGGTTTTACAGATAATGCTTTTGGAAGGTGCTGGATTCAATCTCTTTACATCTGTCCTACCATGTTATGGCATGGGGGTCACTCTGATGTCTCTCTCTCTCTCTCTCTCTCTCTCTCTCTCTCTCTCTCTCTCTCTCTCTCTCTCTCTCTCTCTCTCTCTCTCTCTCTCTCTCTACCCTACCGCCCTCACTCTCACAATTTAATTATTTTAATTCACAAAGCTTTATTGTCATGGAAAGTGTAAAACGTTCAGTTTCCTCCCTCCATCCTCCAGGAGTGTGAGTCTGCTGCAGGCTCTGGAAGAGAACTATGAGTTGGACCTGGTCTACATCACTGAGAGGATAATCTCAGTCTCCTTCCCCAGCTCTGTGGATGAGAACAGCTACTCCGCAAACCTCCGCGAGGTGGCTTCCATGCTGCGCTCCAAACACCAAGACAACTACCTGGTGAGGGCCACCCCACTGATCTAGGATCAGCTCACCCTACCAATTCATAGGCTTTACCTTTAAGGGGGAAAACACAAAACTGACTGGAGATCAGTGTTATCCTGAAGTTGCCCCTGTAGACACTGATATAGGATCAGCTTACCCTCTCCAATGCCCCTGTAGACACTGATCTAGGATCAGCTTACCCTCTGGCGTTTTTTTCTCTCAGTAGAAAGAAATACAATAAAAAAGGAAATATATGATTAAAACACGTTGCTCTTTCAGCTCTTCAACCTCAGCGAGAAACGCTGTGACATCAACCAACTCAACCCAAAGGTGTTGGACTTTGGCTGGCCCGACCACCACGCTCCTGCCCTGGATAAGATCTGCAGCATATGTAAGGCCATGGACACCTGGCTGAGTGCGGACAGTCACAATGTGGTGGTGATACACAACAAGGTGAGATACTGTGTGATACTGTACTGTGCTAACTAAAGTACTGTGGTCCTCTGTAGCTCAGCTGGTAGAGCACGGCGCTTGTAACGCCAGGGTAGTGGGTTCGATCCCCGGGGACCACCCCATATGTAAAAATGTATGCACACATGACTGTAAGACGCTTTGGATAAAAGCGTCTGCTAAATGGCATATTATTATTAAAGCCCTCTCAAGCATATTGAGAAACAATGCTGCTGTCATTTACCTACAGTATCAGACCCTTTGTACTGTTTATGCTGCTCAGAGACAGTAGACGGCATTCTCAGGCCATCCTTTCCTTCCTGATAGAAATCTTCTGATTGACCAATATGTGAAAGCAATACTTCCTGATTGCTAATCCTTGTTTGATGTTGTCTCTGCAGGGGAACCGAGGGCGAACAGGAGTGGTGGTGGCAGCATACATGCATTACAGCAACATATCAGCCAGGTAAACACATACATCATGACACTTAACAGCACAACACATGAGACAGACAGACAGACAGACAGACAGGGGGAGAAAGAGAAAGAGGGGAGTGAGAGAGAGAGAGAGAGAAGGTTGAGAGACTGGTGAGAGACAACAACAACAACAACAACAACAACAACAACAACAACAACAACAACACAATTAGACCCAACCAAATCATGAGAAAACAAAAAGAGAATTAATTGACACATTGGAAAGAACAAACAAAAAAACAGAGCAAACTAGAATGCTATTTGGCCCTAAACAGAGAGCAGAATACCTGACCACTGTGACGGACCCAAACTTAAGGAAAGCTTTGACTATGTACAGACTCAGTGAGCATAGCCTTGCTATTGAGAAAGGCCGCCGTAGGCAGACCTGGCTCTCAAGAGAAGACAGGCTATGTGCACACTGCCCACAAAATGAGGTGGAAACTGAGCTGCACTTCCTAACCTCCTGCCAAATGTATGACCCATATTAGAGTTACATATTTCCCTCAGATTACAGCGATCCACAAAGAATTTGAAAACAAACCCAATTTTGAGAAACTCCCTTATCTACTGGGTGAAATACCACAGTGTGCCGTCACAGCTGCAAGATTTGTGACCTGTTGCCACAAGAAAAGGGCAACCAGTGAAGAACAAACACCATTATAAATACAACCCATATTTATGTTTATTTATTTTCCCATTTGTACTTCAACTATTTGCACATTGTTACAACACTGTATATATACATAATATGACATTTGAAATGTCTTTATTCTTTTGAAACTTCTGAGTGTAATGTTTACTGTTAATATTTATTGTTTATTTCACTTTTGTTTACTATCTACTTCACTTGCTTTGGCAATGTTAACATACGTTTCCCATGCCAATAAAGCCCTTATATTGAATTGAATTGAATTGAGAGAGGAGGGAGAGGGAGAGAGAGGTGAGAGGGAGAAAGAGGGGAGTGAGAGAGAAGGGGGAGAGAGAGGAGAGTGAGAGGGAGGGAGGGAGGGAGGGAGAGAGAGAGAGAGAGAGAGAGAGAGAGAGAGAGAGAGAGAGAGAGAGAGAGAGAATCAAGTAAACTTTAGAACCGTAGAGAAGAGTAGGACAGTCAACAAATAAACAGATGAAGAGTCACAAGATTCATGTTATCCACTGATCATCAGATTGCCCCTCCCTACCCAACATGTGAAAACTGTGTATGGTACACAGTGTACCAGTGTTCAGGCTTTTTTTAAACAAAGCAGGCCCTAATTAAGTCAATGGCAGATAAAGCAAAACAACACTGTGAGTTCACTAAAAGGATAATGTCCACGAAGAGGAGCAGCTTTCGGGGTTTTCTTCGATCTGCCATAGGAGCCATTTGATGTATTGGGGCCATTGAATGTATTGGTGCCATTGGAAGTATTGGGGCCATTGGATGTATTGGTGCCATTGAATGTATTGGTGCTATTGGATGTATTTGTGCCATTGAATGTATTGGTGTCGTTGGATGTGTTTGGCCATTGGATGTATTGGGGCCATTGGAAGTATTGGGGCCATTGTAAGTGTTGGGTCATTGGATGTATTGGGCCATTGGATGTATTGGTGCCATTGGATGTATTGGGGCCATTGGATGTATTTGGCCATTGGATGTATTGGGGCCATTGGATGTATTGGTGCCATTGGATGTATTGGGGCCATTGGATGTATTGGGCCATTGGATGTATTGGGGCCATTGTAAGTGTTGGGTCATTGGATGTATTGGGCCATTGGATGTATTGGGCCATTGGATGTATTGGGGCCATTGGATGTATTGGGCCATTGGATGTATTGGGCCATTGGATGTATTGGGGCCATTGTAAGTGTTGGGTCATTGGATGTATTGGGCCATTGGATGTATTGGTGCCATTGGATGTATTGGGGCCATTGGATGTATTGGGCCATTGGATGTATTGGGGCCATTGGATGTATTGGGCCATTGGATGTATTGGGCCATTGGATGTATTGGGGGGTCACAGTCTCTTTTAACAATAGCCTCAGTTTTTTAACATAGTCAAAATAGAGTCCTTTGAAGAGGTCTATATATTTGACTGAGCGCTGCGCCCACATAAAAAAATGCTATAGTATACTATGGTGTAAATACTGTAGTATAACTATATTTATATAAATATGTTTATATTTTTGCGGACTTTACTGTAGTATACTATAATATTCACTGGGGTGGCAGGTAGCCTAGCTGTTAAGAGCGTTGGGCCAGTAACCGAAAGGTCGCTGGTTCAATTCACCGAGCCGACTAGGTGAAAAATCTGTCGATGTGCCCTTGAGCAAGGCACTCAACCCTAATTGAATGTTGTCCCACTCCTCTTCAGTGCAAAGTTGCTGGATATTGGCAGGAACTGGAACATACTGTCGTACATGTTGATCCAGAGCATCCCAAACATGCTCAATGGGTGACATGTCTGGTGAGTATGCAGGCCATGGAAGAACTGGGAAATTTTCAGCTTCCAGGAATTGTGTACAGATCCTTGCGACATGGGGCCGTGCATTATCATGCTGAAACATGAGGTGATGGCGGCATGTGAATGGCACGACAATGGGCCTCAGGATCTCGTCACGGTATCTCTGTGTATTCAAATTGCCATAGATAAAATGCAATTGTGTTCTTTGTCCATAGCTTATGCTTGCCCATACCATAACCCCACCGCCACCATGGGGTACTATGTTCACAATGTTGACATCAGCAAACCGCTCGCCCACACAACACCCGACACGCCATCTGCCTGGTACAGTTGAAACCGGGATTCATCTGTGAAGAGCACACTTCTCCAGCATGCCAGTGGCGATCGAAGGTGAGCATTTGCCCACTGAATTCGGTTACGACGTCAAAATGCAGTCAGGTCAAGACCCTGGTGAGGACGACGAGCACGCAGATGAGCTTCCCTGAGACTGTTTCTGACAGCTTGTGCAGAAATTATTTGGTTGTGCAAACCCACAGTTTCATCAGCTGTCCGGGTGGCTTGTTTCAGACGATCCCGCAGGTGAAGAAGCCGGATGTGGAGGTCCTGGCTGGCGAGGTTACACGTTGTCTGTGGTTTTGAAGCCGGTTGGATGTACTGGAAAATTATCTAAAACGATGTTGGAGGCTGATTATGGTAGAGAAATGAACATTCAATTATCTGGCAACAGCTCTGGTGGACATTCCTGCCGTCAGCATGCCAATTACATGCTCCTTCAAATCTGTGACATTGTGTTGTCCCCAGCACAAGGTGCACCTGTGTAATGATCATGCTTTTTAATCAGCTTCTTCATATGCCACACCTGTCAGGTGGATGGATTGTCTTGGCAACAGAGAAATGCTCACTAACAGGGATGCAAACAAATTTGTTCACAACATTTGAGAGAACATTTCTGGAATCTTCTATTTCAGCTTATAAAACATGGGAACAACAAAGATAAATAACACATTAACGAGTACACCAAATTACTTATTTGATATGTTACTTCCACTAGATAGCTTTCTGAAATACCACAGTGCTTTCACAGAGATTCAGCTGACCAAGTTCACAAGTTGTCCAAAAAAACGGTGACAAACAATACTATTCTTGTGATAGTAGAAAAGAAAGAAGAGTTAACCACTGATTTACATAAACAATAGATATTTTCAAACCTGTTTTTCTTATGTTCTGGTTGAGATGTTCCCCTCATTAAACAGTAGGCGTACTCTGGTAGTTGTGCCATGTAGTCGGCAGGTGTTACTTCAATGTACTACATTCATGTCCGCAAAAACACTACAGAAAATACTATATTATACTACAGTCATGTCTGCAAAAACACTACAGTAAATAATATATTATACTACAGTCATGTCTGCAAAAACACTACAGTAAATAATATATTATACTACAGTCATGTCTGCAAAAACACTACAGTGAATACTATAGTTTACTACAGTCATGTCTGCAAAAACACTATAGTGAATACTATACAGTCACGTCTGCAAAAACACTACAGTAAAATGTGGGCGAGGACAGGTTCTGACGAGATGTTTGTCTCTTTTGTGTTTAGTGCCGACCAGGCCCTGGACAGGTTCGCCATGAAGAGGTTCTATGAAGACAAAGTACTTCCTGTGGGTCAGCCATCTCAGAAGAGGTCAGTTTCCCTTCTACTTCCTCTTTAACCCCACTATCGTTTCCTGTTTCATGTCTCTTTATGACTTTGACCCCAGAGTGAAGTGAGATACTCGACCAATAGAGTTGGATTCAGGTTCATCTTACTCTCCAAACCACTCTCTTTGTCTTTCTTTCAATTGGTTGACATTTTCTATAGCGGCGACGGAGGCCTCCTTGTACTTTTGCATCCCAGTGTTATAGAGTTAAGGCAATGTCTGATTCATCCGTAGACTGAAAGTCATAAGTGAATACGCATGATGTCATCTTCTACTGTTGTCTTTGCAAAGGTCATAAGTAGAGATATCATGTCCTGTTTACACCAGTGGCATGCCAATCCGTGTATGGTGACAAACATTAAATTCAAAGGGGGACGCACCTGTGATCTCTCTGTTTCTCTCCTAGAGGAGACGAAGAAGAGAGAGAGAGAGGAGAGAGAGAGAGAGAGAGAGAGAGCAGAGAGAAGAGAGAGAGAGAGGAGAGACTCTCTCTCTTCTTCTCTCTATCTCTCTCTCTCTCTCTCTCTCTCTCTCTCTCTCTATCTCTCTCTCTCTCTCTCTCTCTCTCCTCTCTCTCTCTCTCTCTCTCTCTTCTCTCGTCTCTCTTCTCTCTCTCTCTCCGTTTCTCTCCTGTCTTCCCAGGTAGTACAGTACTTCACGGTCTTCTTTTGGCATATCAAGATCAACAACAAACCCCTGTTCCTTCACCACGTCATCATGCACGGCATCCCCAACTTTGAGTCCAAAGGAGGTGAGAGTTGACGCGCACACACAAACACACGTGCATACACATGCACGCATGCACACTTAATACACACACACACACCTTGTTTTTACTCAATGTTCTGTGACGGCTTTTCAGGTTGTCGCCCTTTCCTCAAGATCTACCAGGCCATGCAGCCAGTCTACACATCTGGGATCTAGTAAGCACACACACCACACACACAGTCTTGCGGAGCTAACTTTGTGGGGACATACAATTCAGTCCCATTCAAAATCATATCCCTAACCCTAACCCAAAAACCTAAACCTAAACCTAACCCTAGCTCCTAACCCTAAAACTAACCCTATCTCCTAACCCTAAACCTAATTCTAACCCTGACACTTATTCTAATCTTATCCCTAAACCCCCTAGAAATAGCATTTGACCTTGTGGGGACCAACAAAATGTCCCCAGTTGGTCAAATTTCTCTTGGTTTACTATTCTTGTGGGGACTTCTGGTCCCCACAATTATAGTTAAACACATCCACACCCACCCACACAACACACACAGAACACACACACAAACACACACACACACACACCACAGACACAACACAACACACAACACACACACACCCACACACACACACACACACACACACACACACACACACACACACACAGTAAATCCCCAGCCCCAGTCTCTAGGTGTCCGCCCCCTTCTCTAGTTCCCCAGTCTCTATGTTCCCCATGTCTCTAGTTCCCCATTCCTCTATTTTCCCCGAGTCTCTAGTTTCCCCAGCCCCAGTCTCTAGTTCCCATCTCTTAGTTCCCCATCCCCAGTCTCTAAGTTCCCCAGTTCTCTAGTTCCCCCATCTCTATTTTCCTGCCTCCCTCTAGTTCCCAAGTTCTAGTTCCCCTTCCTCGAAGTTCCCTAGCCCATTCTCTGTTCCCCCCACAGTCTCTAGTTCCCCAGTCTCTCGTTTCCCCAGTCCTCGAGTTCCCAGTCTTCGTTTCCCCCCCGCCCAGTCTCTAGTTCCCCAGTCTCTATTTCCCATTCTCTAGTTTCCCCAGGCTCTATTTCCCGTCTCTAGTTTCCCAGCTCCAGTCTCTAGTTCCCCATGCTCTAGTTCCCCAGTCTCTAGTTCCCAGTCTCTCGTTCCGCTTCCTCTAGTTCCCTCCACCCAATCTCTAGTTCCCCAGTCCTCTAGTTCCCCGTCTCTAGTTCCCCCCCCAGTCTCTAGTTTCCCCATCTCTAGTTCCCCAGTCTCTATTCCCCAGTCTCTATTTCCCCAGTCTCTATCATTTCCCCAGTCTCTAGTTCCCCCGTCTCTAGTTCCCACAGTCTCTTGTTCCTTCCCTCATCTCTAGTTCCAGTCTGCTAGTTCCACCAGTCCTCTATTCCCCTAGTCTCTCGTTCCCCCAGTCTCTGTTCCCCAGCCCCCGGCTCTAGTTCCCCAGTCCTCTAGTTCCCCAGTCTCTGGTTCCCCCAGTCTCTAGTTCACCAGTCTCTAGTTCCCCAGTCTTCTAATTCCCCCTTCTCTATTCCCTCATCTCTATTCCCCCAGTCTCTAGTTTCCCCAGTCTCTAGTTCCCCATTCTCTAGTTCCCCATCTCTAGTTCCCACAGTCTCTTAGTTCCCCCCTCTAGTTCCCCAGTCTCTAGTTTCCCCCCATTCTCTAGTTCCCCAGTCCTTTCCGTCCCCAGTTCCTCTAGTTCCGCCAGCCCCAGTCTCTAGTGTCCCAGTCTCTAGTCCCCCCCATCCTAAGTTCCCCATTCTTCTAGTTCCCCAGCCCCATTCTCGAGTTCCCCCCGTCTCTAGTTCCCCATCTCTAGTTTCCTCCCCAGTGTCACTATTTCCCCATTCTCTATCTCCCCTCGGTTTCCCAGTCTCTAGTTTCCCCTCTCTATTCCCCATTCTCTAGTCCCCAGTCTCTAGGTCCCTCCCCCAGCCCCATCTCTATTCCCCAGTCTCTGTTTTCCCGCCAGTCTCTATTTCCCCATCCTAGTTCCCAGCCTCTTATTCCCGTCTCTAGTTCCCCATCTCTATTCCTCAGTCTCAGTCCCCAGTCTCTAGTTCCCCATCCTGTTCCCCAGCCCCAGTCTCTAGTTCCCCCAGTCTCTAGTTCCAAGTCTCTATTCCCCCGTCTCTAGTTTCCCCAGCCCCGTCTCTATTTTCCCCAGTCCTAGTTCCCGTCTCTAGTTTCCCCCCCAGCCCCAGTCTCTGGTTCCCAGTCCTAGTTCCCCCGTCTCTAGTTCCCCAGTCCTCTATTTCCCCAGGCTCTAGGTACCCTGTCTCTAGTTTCCCCGCCAGCCCCAGTCTCTAGTTCCCCAGTCTCTATCCCCAGTCTCTAGTTCCCCCAGCCCAGTCTCGCTTTCCCAGTCTCTATGTTCCCCCATCTCTAGTTCCCCAGTCTCTAGTTGCCCCAGCCCCAGTCTCTAGTTCCCCCTCTCTAGTTCCCCAGGTCTCTATTCCCCATCTCTATCCCCAGTCTCTAGTTCCCCCAGTCGCTAGTTCCCCGCACCCATCTCTAGTTCCCCAGTCTCTGGTTTCCCCAGTCTCCTGTTTCCCAGTCTCTATTCCCCAGTCTCTATTCCTTTCCCCAAGCCCCCATGCTCTAGTTCCCCAGTTCTATTTCCCCAGTCCCTAGTCCCCCAGCCCCAGTCTCTCTAGTTCCCCTTCTCTAGTTGCCCCAGTCCTCTATTCCCCATCTCTCGTTCCCCATCTCTATTTCCCCATCTCCTAGTTTTCCCATTCTCAGTGTCCCCAGTCCTCTAGTTCCCCAGTCGCTAGTTCCCCAGCCCCAGTCTCTATTCCCCAGTCTCTATTCCCCATTCTCTTGTTCCCCGTCTCTAGTGTCGGAAGACCTCTCTATTTCCCGCAGTCTCTAGTTCCCCATTCTCTAGTTTCCCCATCTCGGATTTCCCCAGGCTCTATTCCCCAGATCTCTAGGTTCCCCAGTCTCTAGTTTTCCCCAGTCCTTTAGTTCCCCAGTCTCTAGTTCCCCCAAAGGGGGGGTTTTTCTCTATTGCCCCCCAGGCTTAGTCCCTCATTCCTCTAGTTCCCCCCCAGTCTCTAGTTTCCCCAGTCTCGTGATTCCCCAGTCTCTAGTTCCCCAGTCTCTAGTTCCCCAGTCTCTAGTTCCCCAGTCTCTAGTTCCCCAGTCTCTAGTTCCCCAGTCTCTAGTTCCCCAGTCTCTAGGTTCCCAGTCTCTAGTTCCCACAGTCCTCTATTCCCCCGCCCCAGTCCTCTAGTTCCCCAGTCTCTATGCCCCCCAGCCCCATCTCAGTTCCCCAGTCCCCTTTCTATTTCCCCAGTCTTCCCCTAGTTCCCCAGTCCTAGTTCCCCCGTCTCTAGTTCCCAGATCTCTAGTTTCCAGTCTCCTATTCCCACATGTCCTCTAGTTTTCCTCCCCAGTCTCTAGTTTCCCAGTCTCTAGTTCCCCCCAGCTCTAGTTCCCCAGCCCCATCCTCTAGTTCCCCAGTCCGTCTAGTTCCCCATGCTCTAGTTCCCCCAGTCCTCTAGTTCCCCATCCCCAGTCTCTAGTTTCCCCAGTCTCTATTTTCCCCAGTCCCTAGTTTGCCCCATCGCCCTATCTATTCCCCATTTCTCTAGTTCCCCCAGGTCTCCCTCGTTCCCCATCTCTAGTTCCCCAGTCCCCGCTTCGTTCCCCAGTCCTCTAGTTCCAAGTCTCTAGTTTCCCCATTCTCTAGTTCCCCATCCTAGTTTCCCCTCCATTCCCTCTATTCCCCCCATTCTCTCGTTCCCCAGTCTCTAGTTCCCCAGTCTCTAGTTCCCAGGTCGCTCTAGTTCCCCGTCCTAGTTCCTTGCCCCATTCTCTAGTTCCCCAGCCGCTAGTTCCCCAGTCTCTATTTCCCCAGTCTCAGTGTCCCCAGTCTCTAGTTCCCCAAAAAAGTCCTCTAGTTCCCCAGTCTCTAGTTCCCCAGGCCCCAGTCTCTATTCCCCAGTCTCTATTCCCCAGTCCTCTAGTTTCCCCATCTCTAGTTCCCCAGCCCCAGTCCGCCTAGTTCCCGCAGTCCGCAGTGCCCATCTCTATTCCCCAGTCCCCCTCTATTTCCCCAGTCTCTAGTTCCCCCAGCTCAGTTCCTCCAGCCCCAGCTCTAGTGTCCCCTTCGCTAGTTCCTTCCCCAGTCTCTAGTTTCCCCAGCTCTAGTTCCCACAGCCCCAGTCTCTATTCCCCATCCCTCTATTCCCCAGTAATCTAGGTCCCCAGTCTCTAGTTCCCCTTCTTCTCGGTTCCCAGTCTCTATTCCCCAGTCTCTAGTTCCCCGCTCGCTAGTTTCCCCAGTCTCTAGGTTCCCCAGTCTCTTCTGGTACCCCAGTCTCTAGTGTCCCCAGTCCTAGTTCCCAGGTCTCAGTTCCCACAGTCCTCTAGTTCCCCACCCAGTCTCTAGTTCCCCCAGCCCAGTCTCTATTCCCCATCCTCTGTTCCCCAGTCTCTAGTTCCCCAGTCTCGAGGTCCCCCATTCTCTAGTTCCCCCCCATCCTCTAGTTCCCCATCTCTAGTTCCCCAGTCTCGAGTTCCCCCCAGTCTCTAGTTCCCCAGTCTCTAGTTCCCCAGTCTCTAGTTCCCCAGTCTCTAGTTCCCCAGTCTCTAGTTCCCCAGTCTCTAGTTCCCCAGTATCTACTAGTTCCCCAGTCTCTGTTCCCCAGGTCTCTAGTTCCCCCCCGTCCTCTAGGTGTCCCCATCTCTAGTTCCCCCAGCCCCAGTCCCTCTAGTTCCCCAGTCCTCTAGTTCCCCAGTCTCTTTCCCCATCTCTAGTTCCCAAGTCTCTATTTCCCCAGGCCCATCTCTAGTTCCCCAGTCTCTAGTTCCCCCCCCCCGTCCCTATTCCCCAGTCGCTAGTTCCCCAGTCTCTATTCCCCACCCCAGTCTCATAAGTTCCCCCTCCTAGTGGTCCCCAGTCTCTAGTTCCCCAGTCTCTGGTTCCCCAGTCTCTTAGTTCCCCCCAGTCTTCGGTTCCCCAGTCTCTAGTTCCCCTGCCTCTATTTCCCCAGTCTCTATTTCCCCAGTCTCTAGTTCCCCAGTCTCTAGTTCCCCAGTCTCTAGTTTCCCCACCCCAAGCCCCGTCTCTATTTCCCCAGCCCCAGTCTCTAGTCCCCATCCCCAGTCTCTAGTTCCCCCCCAGCCCCAGTCCTCTAGTTTCCCCAGCCCCAGTCTCTGAGTTCCCAGCCACAGTCTCTAGTTCCCCAGTCCTCTATTTTCCCCAGTCCCTCTCGTTCCCCAGGCCCGTCCTCTAGTTCCCCAGTCTCTTAGTTCCCCATCTCTCTAGTTCCCCAGTCTCTCTTCCCCAGGCCCCAGTCCTCTAGTTCCCCAGCCCATCTCTAGTTCCCCCAGTCTCTAGTTCCCCATTCTCTAGTTCCCATTCTCTATGCCCATCTCGATTCCCCAGTCTCTATTTCCCCAGTCTCTATTTTCCCCCGTCCTATTTCCCCAGGCTCCATGTTCTCTATTCCCCAGTCTCTATTCCCCAGGTCCCTAGTGTCCCCAGTCCCCGCAGGTCCCCAGTCTCTAGTTCCCCGTCTCGCGTTCCCCAGCTCCAGTATCTGTGTCCGCCCAGTCTCTAGTTTCCAGTCCTAGTTTTTCGCCCAGTCTCTAGTTCCACCAGTTCTCTATTCCCCATTCCCCTCGTTCCCCCCATTCTCTAAGTCCCCATTCTCTATTCCCCATCCTCTAGTTCCCCAGTCTCTATTTCCCCATCTCTAGTTCCCCAGCCCAAGTCTCTAGTTCCCCAGTCTCTAGTTCCCCAGTCTCTAGTTCCCCAGTCTCTAGTTCCCCAGTCTCTAGTTACCCCCTCAGTCTCTAGTTCCCCAGTCTCATTCCCCCAGTCTCCTAGTTCCTCAGCTCCGTCTCTATTTCCCCATTCCTGGTTGCCCCAGTCTCTATTTCCCCCCCAGTCTCTAGTTCCCGCAGTATCTAGTTCCCCCGTATCTAGTTCCCAGTCTCTAGTTCCCCACCTCTAGTTCCCCAGTCGCGAGTTCCCCATCCTAGTTCCCCCAGTCCTCTAGTTCCCCAGCCCCAGTCTCTAGTTCCCCAGTCTCTAGTTCCCCAGTCTCTAGTTCCCCAGTCTCTAGTTCCCCAGTCTCTGGTTCCCCAGCCCCAGTCTCTAGTTCCCCAGTCTCTAGTTCCCCAGTCTCTAGTTCCCCAGTCTCTAGTTCCCCAGTCTCTAGTTCCCCAGTCTCTGGTTCCCCATCCTCTAGTTCCCCCATGCTCTATTCCCCAACTAGTTCCCCAGTATTATTTTCCCCAGTCTCTAGTTTCTCCCCACCTCTAGTTCCCCAGTCTCTAGTTCCCCAGCCCCAGTCTCTAGTTCCCCAGTCTCTAGTTCCCCAGTCTCTAGTTCCCCAGTCTCTATTTCCCCAGCCCATCTCGAAGTTCCCCCGTCTCTGGTTCCCCCAGTCCTCCTAGTTCCAGTCTCTAGTTCCCCAGTCTCTAGTTCCCCAGTCTCTAGTTCCCCAGTCTCTAGTTTCCCCCGTCATCCTAGTTCCCAGTCCTATTCCCGGCCCCAGTATCTGTTCCCCATTCCCTCTAGTTCCCCAGTCTCTAGTTCCCCTAGTCCCTCGCGTTCCCTCCCCCCAGTCTCTCGTTCCCCATCCCCATCTCTAGTTCCCCAGTGCTAGTTCCCCATCTCTAGTTCCCCCATTCTCAGGTCCCCCAGTCTCTAGTTCCCCAGTCTCTAGTTCCCCAGTCTCTAGTTCCCCAGCCCCAGTCTCTCGTTCCCCAGCCCCAGGCTCTTGTTCCCCAGCCTCAGATGTTTCAGCCTGGTGTTACGATCAGTAGTAGTGTTATTAGTAACTGGAGGAGCCAGTGAAATAAGTAGACAGGGATGTGTGTGGACACCCCAGGGCCTTGCATGAAGGACCCCTACAGCTTCCCAGGCCCGGGCAGGTAGTGATGGATTATACAGCTTTAAGCAGTTGTTTGAGCACACAGGAGGGCATGCCCACAGATGGCAGGACAAATCAGGGAAACCCCAGGTGGTACCCAAAAACGTGGTCTCCTCCACTTCCCTCCCTCCTTCCTCTTCCTTCCCTTCCTTCCTCCTTCTTCCTTCCTTCCTTCGCTTCCTTCCTCTTCCTTCCTTCCTTCCTCTTCCTCCTTCCTTCCTTCCTGTCCTTCCTTCCTTCCTTCCTCTTCCTTCCTTCTCCTTGTCCTTCCTTCCTTCCGTCCTTCCTTCCTTCCTTCCTTCCTTCCGTCCTTCCTGTCCTTCCTTCCATATTCCTTCCTGTCCTTCTTCCTTCCTTCCTTCGTCCTTTCCTTACTGTCCTGGTCCCTGTGCTTCCTCTTCCTTTCCCCCTTCCTTTCCGTTCCTGTTTCCTGGTTCCTGTCCTAGGTCCGGTCTTCATGTCCTTCCTTTCCGTTCCTTTCCTTGGAATCAAGCTTCGGCATTCGTTCGTATCCTTCCTGAAATACCTTTCGCTTCCTTCCTATTCCTATGCTTCCTTCCTTCCTTCCTTCCTCCTTCTTCCGTCCTTCCTTGTCTTTGCATTGCTAAAACTTTTATTTCCCTGTATCTCCATGTACAGTATGTATGTATATGCATCTCACTGTCTTACCAATCAAGTCTCCATAATATCCATATATCCATCTAAATCTTGTGTGTGTGTGTGTGTGTGTGTGTGCGCGCACTCATATGTGCATACCCAGTATGTGTGTACCTGTGTTTGTACTAAAACTGTGTGTTTAATCACTAACCTGGATCTCTATATTTCCCAGGGTGCTCCGCTCCCCCCTCAAGGCTCCATCTCTCTCCCTCCCTCCGTCTCTCCCTCATCCCCCTCTCTGACATGCACTCTATTACCTAGTATTCCTTTGGTCCCTGGCTCACATTATGACATGCATGTAGGTACACATTACCCTCAGCCAGAGCATTGACCTCAGCCAGAATATTACCCTCAGCCAGACCATTACCCTCAGCCAGAACATTATCATCAGCCAGAGCATTACCCTCAGCCAGACCATTACCCTCAGCCAGAACATAGTGGTCAAGTGCACCATCTCACTGTCTTACCAATCAAGTCTTCATAATAGCTAATCATCTACTTCACTGATCATACGTCTAGCTAACCGGTGTGTGTAAAAGAGGTGTGCGTCTGTGTTTGGTGTCGGGTGGTGGTGCATTCAAAACAGTAACCCGTGCTCTCTCTCTGTGTGTGTGTGTGTGTGTTTACAGCGTGATGATATCAATGTGGTTTGATGTATAGCGGTGGTGTGTTCAAGCGAGTACAACATGTGTTGTGTTTCTGTGTTTGGTGTGGAGTGGTGATTTGTTTTGTGTGTTGGTTTATAGCGTGATGGTGTGGTGTGTTCACAATGCTCTGTGTGTGTTTCCAGTAATGTCCAGGGAGACAGCCAGACCAGTGTCTGCATCACCATTGAGCCTGGCCTGCTGCTGAAGGGGGACATTCTGGTAAGAACCATCAGCTCATCCCTGAGTGACATGGAGAAGTATGGCATGTACTGTACATAGCCTTTGGGAGTGTGTAGTATAGTAAAGTATTATGCCCCCTCAAAATGAGGAGATAGTGGATTGACTTCTGTCGTTAAGAGGGAATGCAATTTAATTTAGCAACTTTTGAGTCCAAATACATTGTGTCCAAATACAGTATGTTTATCCTTAAGACTTTAATAGTCCCCATTAATAAAACAGCAGGGCAGTAAAAACTAGAGGACAGTTGGCATGTGCCCTATACCTCAGTTTAACTACCCTCATTAGCACACGATATGCAGGCTATAAGCTAGCATGTCAGAATGACGTCCTCTTCAAGAGCATGCTGGACATATTAGAGTTTTTATTAGAGTTTTAAGACAAGAAGAAGACGAATACTTTATTGTCCATTCTCCACGGTCTTCAGCACGGACACAGAGACGTATAGCTTCAGCTGGCTAGTCTATCAGCCACTGATTGATTTGCGTGTACAATGGTGACATCATTTCTGCCAAGGCAATTTAAAAGCAGTTCTTACCCGAAGGCAATACCGTTTGGCCCCAAACAGACACTGTAGCAGCAGGCCTGTAGCTACATATGAAAACACTGAGGCCGGACCTCTCTCAAAAAATATATATAATAATGAAGATATATACAGTACCAGTCAAAAGATTGGACACACCTACTCATTCCAGGGTTTTCCTTTCCTTTTACTATTTTCTACATTGTAGAATAATAGTGAAGATATCAAAACTATAAAATAACATATATGGAATCATGTAGTAACCAAAAAAAGTGTTAAACAAATCAAAATACATATTATGTTTGAGATTCTTCAAATAGCCACCCTTTGCCTTGATGGCAGCTTTCTTTCAGAACTCAGCCAAGGACTCAACTTACTGTTAACAGTTAGAATAGGAATTTCGGTGCAATTTCAGAACTTGGTTGCAATAGTTTTCATCTTGTCATATGTCACTGACAGTTACTCAATTAGCCTCCCACTGAGCAAAAACTGGTTGAATCAACGTTGTTTTACGTCATTTCAACAACAACTAAATCAATGTGATGACGTTGAATCAATGTGGAAAACTGATTGGGTTTGCGTAAAGTTATCAACATAAGGGAATTTTTTTTTTTTTTTTTTTTTTTCTAAATCCAATGACATGGTGAACTCGACCAAATGTAAATCAAAACTAGATGTTGAACTGATGTCTGTGCCCAGTGGGCCATGTCAGTTAAAAATGTTACGTTGGTAAATTAGCCTAGTTAGTCTAGCCAGCTATCTAAACTTGTAATAATCATGGACGAATTACCAACCGGGCACGCAGGGCACGTGCCCAGGGGCCCTGACCTCCAGGGGGCCCTGACCTCCAGGGGGCCCTGACCTCCAGGGGCCCTGACCTCCAGGGGGCCCCCATTGATTTTGTTCGTCACTCTCACTCAGATATCATATTCACATGGTATAGGTCATGGCGAAATGTGTCGGATTTGCAGGAAATGTGCTTTTAAAATGGCAAAAATGTCTCCCCAATCCCATGACAAAATGTGTAGAATTACAGGAAAACTGTAAAACTGCAACAACAACAAAAAAAAAAAAGTTATGTAAAGCAAAACATATTTGTTTACCTTTTGTTGATAAAATACTTTTTCTGCCAACACATCCCTCTGTATGTATTGAATTCTAGTTTTTAATCCCGGTGCTGAGTTAATGTGTAGCGGCTAATTGCATAGCTAATAGGCTATGTGTTTGTAGACCCGACTGAATAAAGCTTGTTGCTTGTTTTAGCTGTTTTCCAAATAGCATTTTAGAGTTTTCTTTTAATTGTATAGAAATGCAGTGAATGAGCGTCAACTTCCCCCTCCCCCAATAATATAACGTTGTCTTTAAAAACTGTTCCGCTCTACTTCTTGACTTTCATTTAGCTGTAGTCACAGGGGAGGATTTCAAGCATTTTGTTTTCTGTTTACAACATATAAACGCTGTCAACATGTTTTTTTTTGCCTTTATAATCTAGCATATTTGATATTGAAGGACATTCTGAATCAGTTTGTCATTGTGTGTTTTTCTTCTGCTTTTCCTCAAACTAGGCTAGCATTGTACCCCCCCCCCACCCCCCCAACCCCCCCACCCCCCCCCCCCACCCCCCAGAACCCCAGTGGGAGGAATACATAACCCATGAAGCCACACACCAGCCGCAGGCCATTTGACCCAGTTTCCTCTCATTCCTCATCTAGAGTTGTTTGTTTTGCTTCTGTCTCTGCAAATAAAATCCTGCTCTTTTTTTAGTTCCTTCAACCCAATGGCTTTAATCCCAGCTGAGGAAGGCTGGTCCATGGAAGTGAACCATTTCCGTCATGTGCTGAGGACATTTAACCAGACTGAACGCTGTGCTCATCATTGTTTCACTTCACCAAGGTTGAGCGCAGCGTTCAGCTTGGTTTAACCAGTCTAGACCTGTGTGACGTTTACACCAAAGCAACATATTATGCCATAGCGAACAGAGGCTGTCTGCAGCCAACAATGTCTGAAAATAAGTTAATGAATCATTGACATGCATTAGGGCATGCAACGGAAAGGGTTTTTAAATGTTTTGCAACTGAAAATGGGTGTTTCTGTTTAGACTAGCCCTGCTGTTTCCATTTGCTGCCTAATGAACCTGACCCATATCCTATCAGGGTTATGGAGCTAAATGAACCTGACCCATATCCTATCAGGGTTATTTTGAGGCTAAATGAACCTGACCCATATCCTATCAGGGTTATTATGAGGCTAAATGAACCTGACCCATATCTTCTCAGGGTTATTATGAGGCTAAATGAACCTGACCCATATCCTATCAGGGTTATTTTGAGGCTAAATGAACCTGACCCATATCCTATCAGGGTTATTATGAGGCTAAATTAACATGATCCATATCCTATCAGGGTTATTATGAGGCTAAATGAACCTGACCCATATCCTATCAGGGTTATTTTGAGGCTAAATGAACCTGACCCATATCCTATCAGGGTTATTATGAGGCTAAATGAACCTGACCCATATCTTCTCAGGGTTATTATGAGGCTAAATGAACCTGACCCATATCTTCTCAGGGTTATTATGAGGCTAAATGAACCTGACCCATATCCTATCAGGGTTATTATGAGGCTAAATGAACCTGACCCATATCCTATCAGGGTTATTATGAGGCTAAATGAACCTGACCCATATCCTATCAGGGTTATTATGAGGCTAAATTAACATGACCCATATCTTCTCAGGGTTATTATGAGGCTAAATGAACCTGACCCATATCCTATCAGGGTTATTATGAGGCTAAATGAACCTGACCCATATCTTCTCAGGGTTATTATGAGGCTAAATGAACCTGACCCATATCCTATCAGGGTTATTTTGAGGCTAAATGAACCTGACCCATATCCTATCAGGGTTATTATGAGGCTAAATTAACATGACCCATATCCTATCAGGGTTATTATGAGGCTAAATGAACCTGACCCATATCCTATCAGGGTTATTTTGAGGCTAAATGAACCTGACCCATATCCTATCAGGGTTATTATGAGGCTAAATGAACCTGACCCATATCTTCTCAGGGTTATTATGAGGCTAAATGAACCTGACCCATATCTTCTCAGGGTTATTATGAGGCTAAATGAACCTGACCCATATCCTATCAGGGTTATTATGAGGCTAAATGAACCTGACCCATATCCTATCAGGGTTATTATGAGGCTAAATGAACCTGACCCATATCCTATCAGGGTTATTATGAGGCTAAATTAACATGACCCATATCTTCTCAGGGTTATTATGAGGCTAAATGAACCTGACCCATATCCTATCAGGGTTATTATGAGGCTAAATGAACCTGACCCATATCTTCTCAGGGTTATTATGAGGCTAAATGAACCTGACCCATATCCTATCAGGGTTATTTTGAGGCTAAATGAACCTGACCCATATCCTATCAGGGTTATTATGAGGCTAAATTAACATGACCCATATCCTATCAGGGTTATTATGAGGCTAAATGAACCTGACCCATATCCTATCAGGGTTATTTTGAGGCTAAATGAACCTGACCCATATCCTATCAGGGTTATTATGAGGCTAAATGAACCTGACCCATATCCTATCAGGGTTATTATGAGGCTAAATGAACCTGACCCATATCTTCTCAGGGTTATTATGAGGCTAAATGAACCTGACCCATATCTTCTCAGGGTTATTATGAGGCTAAATGAACCTGACCCATATCCTATCAGGGTTATTATGAGGCTAAATGAACCTGACCCATATCCTATCAGGGTTATTATGAGGCTAAATGAACCTGACCCCATATCCTATCAGGGTTATTATGAGGCTAAATTAACATGACCCATATCTTCTCAGGGTTATTATGAGGCTAAATGAACCTGACCCATATCCTATCAAGGTTATTATGAGGCTAAATGAACCTGACCCATATCCTATCAGGGTTATTATGAGGCTAAATTAACATGACCCATATCCTATCAGGGTTATTATGAGGCTAAATGAACCTGACCCATATCCTATCAGGGTTATTATGAGGCTAAATGAACCTGACCCATATCCTATCAGGGTTATTATGAGGCTAAATGAACCTGACCCATATCCTATCAGGGTTATTATGAGGCTAAATTAACATGACCCATATCTTCTCAGGGTTATTATGAGGCTAAATGAACCTGACCCATATCCTATCAGGGTTATTATGAGGCTAAATTAACATGACCCATATCCTATCAGGGTTATTATGAGGCTAAATGAACCTGACCCATATCCTATCAGGGTTATTATGAGGCTAAATGAACCTGACCCATATCCTATCCTGGTTATTATGAGGCTAAATTAACCTGACCCATATCCTATCAGAGTTATTATGAGGCTAAATGAACCTGACCCATATCCTATCAGGGTTATTATGAGGCTAAATGAACCTGACCCATATCCTATCAGGGTTATTATGAGGCTAAATGAACCTGACCCATATCATATCAGGGTTATTATGAGGCTAAATGAACCTGACCCATATCCTATCAGGGTTATTATGAGGCTAAATTAGTCCAGTCCAGTGGAGGTGTTCTTCAGGCATATACACCCTGAAAGTTGCTCAGTACATTCACTCCAGTTCCCTAGTTCCCCAGTTATCCAGTTCCCAAGTTCCCCAGTTCTCCAGTTCCCTAGTTCCCCAGTTCTCCAGTTCCCTAGTTCCCTAGTTCCCCAGTTCTCCAGTTCCCTAGTTCCCCAGTTCTCCAGTTCCCTAGTTCCCCAGTTCTCCAGTTCCCTAGTTCCCCAGTTCTCCAGTTCCCTAGTTCCACAGTTCCCCAGTTCCCTAGTTCCCCAGTTCAGCCATAGTTTGTGTGCAGTGTGTCATTTGGGCTAAATATTCCTTGAGTACCTGTAAATGTGAGATCCTTGTAAAAGATCTGGCCAACCCCTAGCCAGGGTGAAGCACAGTGGGGGATCGAGTGAAGAGTTTCCTTTGTAGTGTTTGGGTTTACAAGGCTTTACATGGCTCTTGTGTGAATAGCAATGGTCTGGATAATACTGTTCTTGTTTGGGAAGGCAGGCCATACATTTACAGAGCTTTATATTAAAACAAAACTGTTTTCTCTAGCACACTGACAAATGCCCTGAAACAGGATTGTACTGTGAATCAAGCTGCAATGTTATCAGCTGGTATTTCACAGTGACACTGTACTGTATGTCAGATCTGGATCAAAAACATATGTCTGTGCTTGATTTAGTTTGCCCAGTACAATGGAACAAATGGAATAGTCTCTAAATGGCAAAACTCCAAGCTAAATCAATTCCACCTTCAAATGCTTTCACACGTTTTCAGTTGTCCTAGTGATCTGAACACTGTGAAAGTAACAAAGTCAATGAAGGTTTCCGAGGTAAACTTTGTGACTTGAGAAACGTGAAATCTATGAAAGCCCTGACATTGTCTCTTTTTGGGATTCAGTGTCCCAGAAACCAGAAACAAACTCTTTAAAGACGGGATCTATCTTCCTGTCCTCTGCAGCTGAAGTGTTACCACAAGCGCTTCCGAAGCCCACAGCGGGATGTGATATTCCGGGTGCAGTTCCATACATGCGCTGTGCACGACTTGGGACTCGTCTTTGGGAAGAATGAGCTCGATGAGACCTTCAAGGGTAAAGAAGATATTCCTAAATGTCCAAAAAAACTTACATTTCCAGCATAATGCATACAATATCTGTCAAACCTATTTTCCAATCTCCCGTCATTGTTTTAAACATGGACACATTTTATTCTCTTCTCTCATCCTCAAACCAGATGACAGATTCCCAGATTTTGGAAAGGTGGAGTTTGTCTTTTCCTTTGGGCCAGAAAAAATCAATGGTAAGCATACCTACTCCTCTTGTTGGCAGCCATTTTCTCCAAGCAAATGAAAGCTCATTCAGAAACAGAAATGTGTTTAAGATGACAGACACTACCTCCTATTGTATGGGTATGGCTTTGGCCCATGGTAAAGTGCTGTATGTTTTGGTAATTCTTCGACAGAAACAAGTCACCTGAAGTAAAACATTTGAGGGCGGCAGGTAGCTTAGTGGTTAAGAGCGTTGTGCCAGTAACCGAAAGGTCGCTGGTTCTAATCCCTGAGCCGACTAGGTGAAAAATCTGTCGATGTGCCCTTGAGCAAGGCACTTAACCCTAATTGCTCCTGTAAGTCGCTCTGGATAAGAGCGTCTGCTAAATGACCAATTATTTATTTATCTTCTTTGACCCCTCTGTATGTGTTTTCTTCCCCAGGGATGGACCACTTGGAGAATGGGCCCACTGTCTCAGTGGACTACAATACCCAAGATGCTCTAATCCGCTGGGACTCCTATGAGAACCTCAATCAGCATTGTGAGGACACTATGGATGGTGAGTACTGCCACTTGGCATGCGTACAGGAGGACTCCCTTTTCCCTGATGTACACTAAGTTTGCATGCTGTGGTTGTGGTTGTCATGGCTTCAAACACCTCTCAACCAATCATATTGCGTGGCCGGAACTATCTGTTGTACAAATTGAGAGATCTTCACACAGACGTTTTGGTTTTTTGGTCATACATTGTTGTTGATGGTCTTGCACACATTGTTTACAGTAAGGACACACACACACACACACACACACACACACACACACACCACTCCCCTTGTAAAGTCGAAGTCAGGAGGTGTTAATGACTCTTAATGCCCCCACACTCCATGGTACCTCCCTGCTAAAATGACCAGGAGGGACATTCAGAAGTTAACCTAGAATGTATGGCCAGGACGGTCATTGGCCACACACAAGCCAACTCCACTATAATCTCAAGTAATCTCTACATACAGTCGACCGAGAGGGAGAGAGAGAGAGAGAGAGAGATAGGAGCGAGAGAGAGGATAGAGAGATATTAGAGGATAGAGAGATAGCGAGGAGATAGAGATCGCAATAGATCTCTCTCTCTCTCCCCGCGAGAGAGCACTCTCTATCTCTCCGCAACTATCTCTCTCTCTCTTTCTTCTCTCTCTGCTTCTCTCTCTCGTCTAACTCTTCTCTCTCGCTTCCTCTCTCTTGGCTTTCTTCGTTCCCTATTTTCGTTCTCATTCTTCTCTACCCCTCCTAAAAAATTCCGTTTGTTTTTCACCAGACGGATTGGCATGCCACTGGTGTAAACTGGACATGAAATCTCTACTTATGACCTTTGCAAAGACAACAACAGAAGATGACATCATGTTTATTCACTTATGACTTTCAGTCTACGGATGAATCAGACATTGCCTTAACTCTATAAAACTGGGATGCAAAAGTACAAGGAGGCCTCCGTCGCCGCTTGTGTCATGAAGCCATGTATTAAGTAATAGCCTTCCGTAGAATTCAAGTCGAATCTGTGAATTCCACAATTGAAATAGAAATCCCCCTCTAACCCTGAGGTGTATGTTTAGGTGACAGTTGTGTGAGATGTAGATTCCACACCTGTTGGTAAAGAAAGACTAACATTCTGTTCTACCTAGTGGATAAGATACAGTCTTTATCATTTCAACTATTGGCATTGATTAGATACACTATTTCTCTTTTCTTCTTTCAGTATATTTATTTTCTTTATTACATCGTTTTTTCTTCATTTAAATGAGAAAGATATAACGACTTACCTTGAACTTAACGATATCGGTGACATAAGTGGTGCACTCCAAAACATGCTTTACTTTGTGCTATTGTCAGAATGACAGGGGACACGCTAAGGCATGGCATGTCTAGGATGGCATCTTCACTTTCATTACACTCCTCTGGTGTATGTGGTGGACTATGAAACAACAGGAGCACACACACACACACACATACACACACACAAATACATACACACATACACACATATACACACACAAATACACACACACACACACAAATACATACACACACACACATACACACACAAATACATACACACACAAATACATACACACACAAATACATACACACACACATACACACACACATATACACACACAAATACATACACACACACATACACACACACACACACACACATACACACACAAATACACACACACATACACACACAAATACATACACACACATACACACACACACACACACACACACACACAAATACATACACACACACACACAACATTCACATTCCGGGGTCTAGCCACAGGCTCGGACAAAACATTCCCGATATTCGTGATTCTGGAGCGATGGTCACTCTGACCAAAATAAAGAGCTGCAACCTGTGGGTGTTGTTGTTATTGTGTTCCTTCAACAGACTTCAAAATAGTCTCTCACACTGTCTATTTGAAGGCTGAATTAGTGATGCTCCAATCGCTTGGTACGAATACCTATATACAGTGAGGGAAAAAAGTATTTGATTCCCTGCTGATTTTGTACGTTTGCCCACTGACAAAGAAATGATCAGTCTATAATTTTAATGGTAGGTTTATTTGAACAGTGAGAGACAGAATAACAACAAAAAAATCCAGAAAAATTCATGTCAAAAATGTTATAAATTGATTTGCATTTTAATGAGGGAAATAAGTATTTGACCCCTTTGCAAAACATGACTTAGTACTTGATGGCAAAACCCTTGTTGGCAATCACAGAGGTCAGATGTTTCTTGTAGTTGGCCACCAGGTTTGCACACGTCTCAGGAGGGATTTTGTTCCACTCCTCTTTGCAGATCTTCTCAAAGTCATTAAGGTTTCGAGGCTGACGTTTGGCAACTCGAACCTTCAGCTCCCTCCACAGATTTTCTATGGGATTAAGGTCTGGAGACTGGCTAGGCCACTCCAGGACCTTAATGTGCTTCTTCTTGAGCCACTCCTTTTTTGCCTTGGCTGTGTGTTTTGGGTCATTGTCATGCTGGAATACCCATAAACGACCCATTTTCAATGCCCTGGCTGAGGGAAGGAGGTTCTCATCCAAGATTTGACGGTACATGGCCTCGTCCATTGTCCCTTTGATGTGGTGAAGTTGTCCTGTCCCCTTAGCAGAAAAACACCCCCAAAGCATAATGTTTCCACCTCCATGTTTGACGGTGGGGATGGTGTTCTTGGTGTCATAGGCAGCATTCCTCCTCCTCCAAACACGGCGAGTTGAGTTGATGCCAAAGAGCTCAATTTTGGTCTCATCTGACCACAACACTTTCACCCAGTTCTCCTCTGAATCATTCAGATGTTAATTGGCAAACTTCAGACGTCCCTGTATATGTGCTTTCTTGAGCTGGGGGACCTTGCGGGCGCTGCAGGATTTCAGTCCTTCACGGCGTAGTGTGTTAGCAATTGTTTTCTTGGTGACTATGGTCCCAGCTTCCTTGAGATCATTGACAAGATCGTCCCGTGTAGTTCTGGGCTGATTCCTCACCGTTCTCATGATCATTGCAACTCCACGAGGTGAGATCTTGCATGGAGCCCCAGGCCGAGGGAGATCGACAGGTCTTTTGTGTTTCTTCCATTTGCGAATAATCGCACCAACTGTTGTCACCTTCTCACCAAGCTGCTTGGCGATGGTCTTGTAGCCCATTCCAGCCTTGTGTAGGTCTACAATCTTGTCCCTGACATCCTTGGAGAGCTCTTTGGTCTTGGCCATGGTGGAGAGTTTGGAATCTGATTGATTCAGTGCTTCTGTGGACAGTTGTCTTTTATACTTTAGAGTGTGCTCCTGATCTCAGCTCGTTACCTGTATAAAAGACACCTGGGAGCCAGAAATCTTTCTGATTGAGAGGGGGTCAAATAATTATTTGCCTCAATAAAATGCAAATCAATTTATAACATTTTTTACATGCGTTTTTCTGGATTTTTTTGTTGTTATTCTGTCTCTCACTGTTCAAATAAACCTACCATTAAAATTATAGATTGATCATTTATTTGTCAGTGGGCAAACTTATAAAATCAGCAGGGGATCAAATACTTTTTTCCCTCACTGTATGTCAATCAATCAATTAATCAATTAATCAATCATGTTTGAGTTTAATATGTTGAGTCGTTTGTCTCTGAATGATTTATTTAGAAATAACACCTGTCACAGTATTACTGCTGATTCATATGAAATCATGCACTCTTAGAAAAAAGGGTTATTCAGCTGTCCCCATAGGATAACCTTTTTTTCCGAGGTAGAACCCTTTTTGGTTCCAGATAGAACCCTTTTGGGTTCCATGTAGAGCCCTCTGTGGAAGGGGTTCTACACGGAACCCAAAAAGGTTCTTCCTGGAACCAAAAAGGGTTCTTCAAAGGGTTCTCGTATGGGGACAGCTGAAGAACCCTTTTAGATTCTAGATAGCACCTTTTTTTTCTAAGAGTGTATGGAATATAAATAAACACGTGACATATGGCTATCTATAGTGTTCTTTTTTTAAACATGTGATTATGATTTCTGATCCAAGATAACTCATCCTAGCTCTGAAATTAGTTTCTGTTCAAATCTCTGGGCCTTTCTGGTAGCATTCCTGCATGTTTACCCAGGTTGCTTTTCTTGGTCCTCTGGATAGGTGGAAGGGCAGAGGTCATGCCCATGACTATATATTTTTCACTCAGGTCATAAAATGTCCATCCCCTCACACCGTCACACCCATCTACAGCTTTAAGTATGTGTAGCAAAAATAGCAGAGGGGTCGATCTCTCCTCTTGCATCGTGTGTGTGTGTGTGTGTGTGTGTGTGTGCGCACACGTGCTTGCGTGTGTGCATGTTGTGTGCGTGCATGCGTGCGTGCCAAATTTGATCCATTCTGAGGCTGTAAAACATCAAATCTCTCTTGCCCATTGTGCACCCAAGCCCGTGACTTCACTCTGCCAACACTGCAATATGGATGTACAGCTAAGACATTGAAAATGAGCTCATTGACATTCTGTGATTGTGAAAAGTGATTGTGGGACTAGTTTGCAGGCAAACAAGCCTCATTTCGGAGTGTTTGTGGTAATGGCACAAAAAGTCTATGGGTTCCAGGAAACTCTGGTGTTTTGCATTTCCACTGTAATTAAGTGTGTTCTCTCCTAGCTGCAGCCTCGTTAGTCTACACTGAGAAGGCAATTAGCTCATCCAACTCAATGGGGTTAGGAGCAGACAGGAACACATAGAAGATTTATGTGTTTACTAGCACAGTTGGGATCAAAATATTTAGTGGGAGTACTCAGCAAGCAGTTTGGCTAAATTGAAGTTGTTTTCCTATGGTAAAGGCTTGTCACAACCTAGCCACATAGAGGTCAATAAACAGAAAGGGCTTTCCAAACGGAGTCAACAAATCATATAAAGGTTCAATCAAATCAAATAAAAAAACGAATAATGTCCACCGACTGACTGACTGACGGACATAGTCTCCTTCACCTTAACTAAGGCTGCGTTCAATAGAGCACAGCGATGTGGATCGTTTAGATAGAAATACAGTA